TCCCCTTCCCCTCCTGCGCGTCTCCCATCGGCCGCTGGGAATCCGCTGCCTGGCTGCAGCCATCGTAGGAATGTTGCCGGCATCGGATCCGGAGATTCCCTGTTCTCCCTGTATCTTCTCTTGGGCCCAATTCTCCAGCCTCAATGGGTGTCACTGCCCTGTCACGGTTTCCGGCCAGGTACTGGGAGATGATGACGCCTGGCATCAGGCTTCCCGGGGGTCCGCCAGCTTTCTCTGGCCTGGGTCACCCCAGCCGTCTCCATGGAGCACTCGCCACGCCCTGTGGGAAGGGTGGCCTCCTTGGGCACTTCCAGGAGCCCAGACAGGATGCGCCAGCAGTGGAGGCAGCTCCAACTTCGGATGCACAGGGGTCGCATGGTGGGGATAGGCTTGTTAATAACATCCCAGCCCCCTAGCTGGTTGTGGTGGAGGGGAGAGGGCTACGGTGTGCCTGGGTCACCAGCGCCCATCGTCTGAACCTGCTGCCCTCATGGTCCCGTTCCCCTGGACACCATCCTGGCCTCACCTGCCATCAGAGGCCAACCGCAGAGGAGAGGGCACCTGCTCTGGCCAGCTGTCAGCAATAGAAGGCCTGACTAACAAAGTCAGCATCCAAGAACTGCTATCAGAGCAAAGCATTCCGCCCAGCTTCCAGTGGGTGGGGTCTAATTGGTAGGTGCCCAGGCTTCTATCATGGAAAAGGTGAAGGGGGCCAATGGACCATACAAGGCTACAGAGTCCCTCAGATTCTTTATGTCCTTAAAAGAGAGTGCCATGTGCTGATTCTGTGCCTTTGCTTCTCTTCGACCTCAACGACCGGGAAGGCAAAGCGCCTAGCCAGGGCGGCTGCCTCAGGGTCTCCCTGCGCCTGCACTGCTGAACCGCAAAGCGCCTAGCCAGGGCAGCTGCCTCAGGGTCGCCCTTCTGCGCTTGCTGAACCGCACGTTCCACAGCTGAAAGGGAAGTTGAAAGCAGGGGTCCACGGCAAGCCCCAGCAGTGCGTCCCCCTGCTCCTGCCTCAACTGAAGGGAGATGCTGAAGTTCCTACTGTAAATCTTTCACACCTGTGCCCAGATTCAATGGTGCTGATGGCACAGGTGGCACAGGGGGCTCTGTGCCTGGCCAAAAGGGATTTTTGTTGGCACCTGCTCTATGGGCATATCCTCTGTGGTGGGGGATCCTCGGAAGACTCACTTCCATCCTCTTCCCCTTCCTCCTCCTCAGAATCTACTTGGCACAGTTGCTCCAGACTTTGTTCTGCGGTTTCTTCTCCTTTTTACCCTGGTTTGGAGTTCCTTCTGTCTTCTTACTCTGCTTTGCGGCTCCCTCCCCGTTCTTACTGATAATTTTTGAAGGAAGGGACGCACCACTGCTTGACAGGATAACAAAGCAATATTTACCAAGCGCCAGAGGGGAAAGGTGGCTACAAGGAGAGTAGACCATGGGGATACGTCGCAGTTTCAATGAACTCTGCGAGGCCTTAAGCTTAGTGTCGGTGCCTTGTGAGTGGAGCAGATCTCGGATTCCCTTAATCATCTGCACTTTACCATGTTCTTACCCCATGGTAAATTTTACTTATGCCCCTGCAAAATTTTTAAATTTGCCTCCGGATTTCTGGGGTCCCTCAGATTGTCCCTCGTGCCCAAGCGCAGGGAGAGGGTCTGGGGATGAAATCAGTTATGCCCCTACAAAATTTTTAAATTCTAAACTTACCTTTGTAGGTCCAGGGGTCCCTCAGATTGTCCCTCGTGCCATGCCCCACGTTGGGCTCCATTTGCTCCTGCCAGCAGCGCCAGTAACGTGGACACGGAGAGACTCGGGGAATGAAGCACCGACAGGAGACCAGTGATGGCGGAAGTCTCCCCGAAGCCTCCCTGTATTACTCCTTTTATACTCTTTCCCCAAGCCCTTTAACCAAATAACAGGCTGCCGATGAGTCCCATCAGACCAGGTGCTTTTAGTCGCAAGCCCATTTCCTGTAGGTGCTCAGCTTAACGAGTGTTAATCAGCTCCTTAGCCCACAACAGACACCTGCCCCTTGCACCTTGCCAGTCCCACGGTCCCCCTGGCCACCTCCACCTCCCCGATCTTACAACCCCCCAAGGACCTGACAGGTCTGTGCTCCCAGCACAGCCCCCACCCACCCACAGCTCCACATATGGGACTCCAAAGGCAGCCGCCATTTCCCAGCCTCTCCCCACCCCAAGATTTGTACATCCAACATAACCTGTGTGTTTCTTTTTCCATCTTTATACACACACACACACACACACCAAGTATGGCATTCTGGATGGGCACCAGTTCTAATCCCGGCAGCCCCACTTCCCATCCAGCTCCCTGCTTGTGGCCTGGGATAGCAGTGGAGGATGGCCCAAAGCCTGGGGACCCCGCGCCCGTGTGGAAAACCCAGAAGAAGCTCCTGGCTCCTGGCTTCAGATCAGCCAGCTCCGGCTGTTGCAGTCTTCCTGTCTGTAAATCTGACTTTCCAGTAAAAATAAATAAATCTTTTTAAAAAATGGTCATTCCAGGAGAATGAGAAAATCCACCAGGAAGAAAATGCATGGGGTAGAACACACAGCAATTGAGTCTCATGGGACTGTGTCAGGGTGCGGGCTGGCCTAAGACACCCTGTCTCGGAGCACCCGGCCCCGCCTCCATTCTGCCTCAGTTTCCAGTCTCCTGTGGGTGGGCACCCGGGGGAGCAGTGATGGCTCACTTCCTTGGTCACTGCCACCACGTGGGAGACCCGGTTGATGCAGCTGACCCCTGGCTCAGGCCATACCAGCCCTCGCTCTAATGGTGCCTTTCAAATAAACAAATATTTTTAAAATTTTTCTTTAAAGAAGTAGGTGACATCAATTTATTTAATCTGATTTGCCAGCAGGATTGTAATTTCAACGCATGGTCAATTATGGCCAGAAAGATTTTTTCCATCATTTTCTGCACCAGGCCCTTGGCATCGGGCACATGTTGGCCACCTCCGGTTCAGACCCGTCAACCCACTCTGCGCATGCCCACTGCAGGCCATTGCCATCGCCATCTCTGCCCGCTGTCCGCCTGCCCGAGGAGGGGGCCCTGAGTCCGCACAAGGAAGTCACCCATGATGCCTCCCCCAGGTGCTGGCGTGCAAAAGTCCCTGCCCCCGCCTCGATCTGCTCTGCCCAGCCTTTCGCCTTTCTGGCCAGTCCAAGGTCTTGGTGCAGCAGATCTCCCCTGGGGCCTCTGTGTCCAGCTGGTGGCGCCCCATCTGCTCACTGCGTCCTCCCGGGGTCGTGGACGGAGCCGCCCGGAAGCTCCTTCACCGTGGTCACCACCGAGGCTTGGTGCTGGAGTCGGATGTGTAGGTCTGCGGGGACACGATGCAGCTCCCAAGCACTGGCCACGTCGGGCACCTGCTGCCCGGGGCTCTGTCCATGCCCTGGCCGTCCGCTGCCCTACTCTGTGCCTGGGCTGTGTGTTCTGAGCACAGCTGCATCCCGTCTGTCCTAGGGCCTGGCCTCACCTCCTACCCCAGGGAGCCCTGGGAAGGCAAGCACTGCTTGGCACAGCCGCCCCTGAGGGCAGTCGAGGACAGAGCCTGCCCTTGAAGGTGCTGTATATATGGGATATATGCGATGCCCAAGGGGCCGTGCCAGAGGCCGCCAGCTCAGCCAGGCTCGTAGTGAGAGGAGGTAACCCAGCACCCTCTCCCAGCACCCCCTCCTCCTCATGCTGGACACCACATGGCGTCTGCAGCTCCCTCTCCTTTCTCGTCCTGCTTGGAACTCATGCAAGATGTCTGGTGCAGCAGCCGCCTCTTCAGGACCAGGAAAATCAACGTCACATGTAACAGATGAGCAGAGAAGAACAGGGCAGGGCCTGAGTCCTTGGGAATCATGCAGAGCTGGCACAGCACGGCCCGAGATACACTAGGGTCTCCTCGGAGTCACTGCAGTCGAGTGCCCGAGACACAGCCAGGACACAGCCAGGCCAGAGCTTAAGTCCCTGGTCCAAGCCAGGCCCAGCCCTGGGAGGCTACAGGTGCCCATGCACAGCCAGAACGTTACTGGTCACCAGAGACCAGTGTGCACTGGCTTTGGCCACCAATCCTGGTGGCGGCAGTGGCTCCATGCCCCGCCCCAGCCCAGCTCGGGCCCCAGGACCCTGGTTCCAGCATGAGTGTGCACGGGTCTGCGTGGGCTCACAGGTGGTGCCCACAGCGCACACCCGGGGATTCCAGGGAGCGAGAGGGTGTGGACATCACTGAACCGCTCCCCCCCCCCGCGGGGGCCGAGGTGGGGCTGTTGCTCCTGTGGGGGGTCAGGAGTCGTGACAGAATGTCCTGCCTCCCAGCCAGCCCCGAGGGAGCCGAGCAAGAGACACAGGCTCAGGGCCTCGGAGCAGAGACGTACCCCAGAGTCCTGGCTGGGCTAGCATCTCCCCAGGCGCCTTGAGTCTGGGCTGCACAGAAGAGGTCCTGGCTGCCACCTGCTGCTGGTCCAGGTGCCAGGTCAGCGGATGTGACCAGGTGGTGGGGAGTGGGCACGCCAGACCCTGGGCCCAACTCTGCCAGTGCCTCGGCTTCTCCACCCAGGGTTTCCTGTTTCTGAGGGAGACAGGGACTTGTTCTGCACCCATTTCGCAGATGGGGAAGCTGAGGTTCGGCTAGGTCAAGAACTCACTGAAGCAGAGTCAGACCCGAGAGCCTGTCCTCCGAAGAGGTCAGCCCTGTGGAGCCGGGGGTAGCTGGCATGAGGGTCCAGATGGAGTGTGGCTCAGGGCAAGGTCCCCTGTGTCCTTGCAGCCCTTCTAGCAAGGGGGCTTGTAAGGGCTTGGAGCTGCAGCCCCTGCACCAGGAGAACGCAGAGCCTAGGTGCAGGTGGTGGTGGCCCCTCTGTCCACACAGGACAGCCCTGGTCGCACAGGCTGAGCCCAGCCCAGCACGGGTCCTTCTGAGCCTGTATCCTGCCCAGCCGTGGCCAGGGTGGGGGAAGTGGCCACACACCTGTGCGGGATGAAGCTTAGTCCCGCTTGGGCTTGTGGGGCGGCCTGGGGCGCATCCTATAGTCCAGGTAGGCACCGAGGCAGGACCAGAGAAGGAAGCGTGCCAGCAGAATGAGGACCAATAGGACCACCAGGGCATCAGGGCCCGCGTCTCGCCAGGCCACGAGGCCATGACAGGAGGGACGCCCCGGGCGAGCTCAATCCAGCTGGTGGCCTCCGAGCTGCACCCCCTCCCCACAAGGTTCCTCCCGCGTTCCCTGCAGCAGCAGCAGCCTGGCAGGCCGGGGCCAGCTCGCCGCAGCCTCCCTGGTCAAGAGGCCCGCGGTGCATTCATCCGGAGTTCCCCGCTGCCCAAGCCCACAATGCCCGCATTGTCCAGGGGCCCCGGGGGCGGGAGGCGCCCGAGCCCGCCCTCCTCGCCGGCGCTGACGTAATCGCCAAACATCTCCGGGGGCCCCGGCGGGCGGCAGCTGCTGGGCCCGGGCTGGCGGCCCTTTCAGCGGCCCACGCCGGCTCTTCCGCCCCGCGAGACAATCGGGGTCTTTCTCTCCCCAGTTAGCTATCGCTTCTGGGGGCCGGGGCTGGGCGGGCGGTCCTCCTGGTGGTGGTGGCGAAGGGCAGGCAGAGAAGGCCGTCCGAGCTGTGCAAAGGAAAGGGGAGGAGGCAGGGTGGATGGAATCAGGCTCCAGTGGCACACGGGGGTCCCCAGAGGCCTCACGGCCAGCAGGTGCTGGGCGGTCAGCAGAAGGAGGGCCCCCAGAAAACCCTGGGCTCTGGGGAAACTTTCTTGACATTCCCCCCCGTCACCCAAGCCTGACGTGAAACCTCCAGGGACCCACACACGCCTCCCATCACAGGACGGTCCTGCAGAAGGCACTCTTGGCCAGGACCCTGACCCCTGGCTGTGACCCTCAAGCTGAGCCACCCGGACCATTCTGGAATGTTCCAGAATAAAGGCACAGCGAGGGGGTCTGTGACAGCGGTGCTCCCAGAGCTAGACACCACTGTGTGTGCTGCATCCATCCCCTCCCGCAACCCGAAGCCCCCAGCTCGGCTGTGCCCTGCTCCAGGCACAGGTGAGGGGCCGGTCACAGCGCAGTGACCAGAGCACTCCGCTTGCTGGCTCCAGGCTTCTGGAATGTTGAGGAAAGTCACGGCGACTTCCTGGAAAGACTCAGGCGCAGGCTGGGGTGCAGGGGCCAGCGGGCTGAGGGCCCGGCAGGTGCTTCGCTTACCTGAGCTGCGGTGTCCCCGCCGGGGGAGCTGGAGCCACCCGCTCACTCGGGGCGCAGCCTCCTAGTGCTCTATGCAGCCTCAGGGCAGGTGGGGACGAGGTGGCCTTGGTCAGGACGCCCGGTGTTTGCACAGTGTCACATGGTGACCACGCACAGGGGACTCCTGGGGGTCACCGGGGTGCTGCCCCTCCCCCCAACCACACCCAGAAATCCACAAGGACGCGGACTGCTCAGGCAGCTGCTCCCCAGCCCGCTCCCCGATAGAGGCCATGGTGCTGGGCACAGGTGCAAGGTCTGGGCCAGGGCCAGCCACATGGCCAGGGCCCACCCGAAGGGAAGGCAGTGACAGTGGAAGTGCCAGTGCCAGGCTGGCCGGAGGTACGCTCCCACACCCAGCAAGGAGGCTCCCATGTCCCCCGCAGCTGACTTTGGGGAGTGGGTTGGGATACCATCTCATGCCCCTCCCCGAGGCCCCGTTTCTCCAGCAGCCCCTGGTTTCATTGTCACAGGAGCCACCCCGGAGCACAGGAAACCCTTGGCTGAAGCCTGACCACACAGAGTCCTTGCGTTCGGGAGAGGGGGTATGCCCAAGAGTGTCCCCCCCCCTGCAAGATGACCTGGATGTGGGGGTGTGACCAGAGCCGCCCCCTCCTGGCTGGTCCTCTGCACTCTGCCCACTCCTCCCCCGCCCCCCCCTCCGTGTCCGCCCACCACACCAACTGCTAGACCGCCGGCCGACAAGGGAAGCCCAAGGGGCTGGTGACCAGCTGCCCCATTGGCCACAACAACCCCAAGTGTGGCCAGTGACTTCAGACTGCCAGCCCTGGGCCCCAGGGCCACTGAGGGGGCCTCAGCCACCTTCAGTACTTCCCATAACGCGAGTCCAAGAGACAGGCTGGGGAGAGCCGCCAGGCATAGCGGAGGGGCTGAGAGCCAGCCATCCTGCCTGCAACCTCCCCCAGGGCCCAACTCGCCTGTGGGCCAGCTCTGACTGTAGCAACCACTCAGGGCACAGCTGGGCCTCAGTTTACCCCACTGTGAAAGGGGTGACACCCCCTCCCCAGCTTCTCAGGCAAAGCCAGGAGTAAGGGCATTTTGCAGGGGGTCTCTGCGCAGCAGGCCCAAGGGAGAGAAACGCTGACCCAGGTGGACGCACCTGCCAGGTGAAGCCACGGCCCTCACCAGGGCCAGGGGCAGGTGCCTGCTCTCCCAGGTGAAGCCACGGCCCTCACCAGGGCCAGGGGCGGGCGCCTGTTCTCCCATTGTTTCCGCTTCGTTGCTGCACCGTTCTCTCAGAACCTGGTCAAGTATTTCCAGAATGTGCGCTCTCTCTCTGAACGCCACCCACCCCCTCCCCAAGCTCGGCGCAGTTCCGGATGCCTAGAAGGCACCGGGCTGCTGGCGCCGTGGAGAGGCCCAGTGGGGGCATGGCAGGTTGCGCTGCCATCTGCACGCGGTACTTGCATCCGACAGGGGTGTCAGTTTGAGGCCTGGCTACTCCGCTCCCCATCCAGCTCCCTGGGAAAGCAGCGGAGGCCGCTAGGTGGGTGGCTCCGTGCCAGCCACATGGGCACTCTGGGTGGAACTCCAGGCTCCTGACTGTGGCTGGCCCAACCCAGGCCGTTGAAGCCATGTGGGGAGTGAACCTGCAGATGGAAGAGCTGTCGCTCTCTCTCACTGTGACTCTGTAACTCTGCCTTTCGGATAAATAAACACATCTTCAAAAAAAGAAAATGGATGAGACGCGTGGATCAGAGTGACATTCGAGTCTGTCCAAATTAGCCTCAGCCACTCATTTTTCCTCTTTTGGCCAAAAAAAAAAAAAAAAAGGCAGGCTTGCTCTTCTCCCCAGGCCAAAGCAAAGTTACAGAAGTCACACCACTTGCACAGAGCCCAGGATGGTGGGCCAGCTCCAGGACGGCCCGCTCGGGGGGCCCACGGACCTCTCCCCCAAGAGCCACCAGCCGCCGTTGCGGCCACCAAAGCAACATGCATTTCAAACGGGGCTTGCCGTGAGCAGCGGCCTCCTCTCAGACGGGCGAAAATTAATTTTCTTTCTTCCTGCGACACAAAGGCAGATTAGACTCAGCGGTGGGACGAGTGGGGCCAAGTGGAGGGGCTCCCGCATTGAAGGAGTCCCCTTGCTCACAAGGGCCGGCCCCCTTGCGGGAACCCCCGCCCCCCGCCCGACCCGAGGACACACTTGAGAACGAGGCGGCGGCGCCGGCCCTCGGCTGGGCATGATCAGACAGCAGGTCAAAGGCGCTGTCAGGAGCGGAATGAAATTCTAAATAAATTAGCCATGTCCGAGAGCCGGCACAACACCGGATTAGGGCGCACAAAGGCGGCACCGAGTACACGGCCCACCTTGTCAGAATGCACAATAACCTGCTCCCACCCTCTCACCTCGGCCGCACGAGACAAAGACCTGCAGGCGTGGGGACGGGCGCGAGCTGGCAAAGTTGGGAGGGACATTTACACAGAGACGGCCGTCCCCCGTCCTGCGCCTCACGTGGGCTGAAAGGATCGGTTCGTGACGGGTGACTGCACAGGACACGAGTGGGCACCACGACGAGTATCCCCCATTTCAGCAACCACCGCACCCACTTACACCCCACAGCATCATTAGACGGGGAGGCTGGGGCCGGGCTGTGGGAGCTGGCGCGGCCCTGTTGCCTTCTGAGAAGTTTCTTTTTGGGGCAGCAACCAGGTGAACAAGAGTGGCACCCGCAGGGCTGGGCCACCTGTGACAACTCCTGAATTATATCGGCAGTCCTCATGCAACACCATTTAAAACAATCGAAAAACCACAAACCCAGGAAACTTCTGCAGCCTCTTTGGAATCAAGGGGCACTGGGTGGTGTGGTTTAGGGGAGGCACTTCTGAAGGTGCAATGGCCCTCCTCCTCTCCTTCCTCCCCCTCGCCTTGGACCCTGATGACAAACACGCTGTGCCCTCGGCCTTCCACCGCCCCGTCTTGTCCCTGGCAGAGACCCGGCAAGGGACTTGACTGTCTGCATGCGAGACAGGAAGGGAGCCCGCGTTTCCAGGAGGGGTTGGCCCTTCTCCGGGCCCAGGGGACCACAAGCCAGCCCTCCAGACCGTCCAGGGAGGGCTCGTGGGAGGAGGCAACCGCATGATGTCAGTGAGCAGGACGGAGAGCGGAACAGAGGAGCTGTCCCGCCAGGACGGCCAGGTCCCCCGGGAGCAGGATCCATAGCCAGGTCCCCAGGAGCTGCCGCTGTCAGCAGCTGTCCCCTCGTGGCCACCCTGAGGCACACTACTAGAACCTCCGGGGCATGGGGACGCCTGGTGGCCGGTGCCCCCATCCCCTCCAACCACTCCGTCCTGGCACTCGGACCAGCTCCTCCCCGTTCCCTCTCCTGCCCCGTGGCTTGCTCACCCCTAAAGGACTCTGAGGGCCCAGCAGTTTCTGGATTGGCCTCCACCCCTCCTGCTCAGTGTCCATGCCCAGTGGAGGCTGCAGGGGTCACATGACCCAGCGCCCTCCAGGCCAGACACACCCACAGGCGTCTAACACGCAGGCGCAGTGAGCTCACCCACGAGTGCACATTTCCACGCTGTGCAAAAAAAAACAACGTGTGGCTGAGGGCAGAAACTTCCACCTCCAGCGCCAGCATCCCATGGGGCGCTAGCCCAAGCCCCGGCTGCTCCACTTCCCATCCAGCTCCCTGCCCGTGGCCTGGGAAAGCAGTGGAGGACGGCCCAGAGCCTTGGGACCCTGCACCCCCATGGGAGACCCAGAAGAGGCTCCTGGCTCCTGGTTTCAACTAATTCAGCTCCGACCACTGTGGCCATTTGGGTAGTGAACCAACGGATGGAGGATTTTTCTGTCTCTTTCTAATTCCACCTTTCAAATAAATAATTTTTTAAAATACTATGCATAATGTAAAGCTTTCGGCTGTCAAGTCAGCCT